GCTGTGCAATATTTGGGAAACAGGCTGTATATTTCTTAAGTATACAGATTCTAATTAAATAATGCTGCAATTGTAAAAATAGGTTGAACTAATCTGAAACGAACTTGAGATCTCACTACAAAAAGGTTTCAGATTAAAGTGGACACAAAAGTTCTGATTTGAACCCATGAAATCTGGATTCTCTTCTGAAACATCATCAAATTAATCACATCTATTTCACAACACTATTGAACATGTCACACTATACTGAAACATTCTCCCAGTAACGTAAAACCCAGACTTTTTGGTAGGTCTTTATTCATGATACTTGGGAAAAAGAGGATTCTTCTTAATAAAATAAAACAAAAAACTAGCACTTCAATTTGCAAATAAAACAGGTGGGGACCTTTTATCATCAGTTTAATTTGTATTCTCAGTGACTAACAAAGTACATTTTTTTTTTTTTTTTTAATTTATTGGCCAAATGTTATCTTCCTTTCTGCTTGGTCCATTTTTTAAAAAAGAAATGAGTTCTACATGGGGTCTGTATAGTGCAAATATCTTCAACTGTTAGTGGCCTTTTCACTTGCTGATATCTTTTGATAAACTAAAAGCTCATTTTAATATAACCCATTTTTTGTTTCCCCTTTATATATAGTGTTGTGACCTTTATTTAAAAATTCTTTGTCTACTCTAAGGTCCTGAACATGTTTTTACTCTTAAATGCATTGCTTCACCTTTCATATTAAGGATTTGTAATCCATTTAGAATTTATTTTTATGTGCAGTTTAAGTGTAACAATACATTTTTCCCTGTGACATGTAATTTACATAATACTATATATTAAAAAGATCCTTTTGTCAATGCACTTCAATGTTGCTTTTATCATACATCAAAGGCCATTTATATGCTAATAGTTTCTGGACTCTGTATCTGTTCACTAATTTGTCTACCACTGTGCCAATACAGTATAACTATAATCCCAGTGTAGCATTGTAGGATAAGCACTGGACCCCAAGGTCATTTTGAAATAAAAAATCAGCGGTTCAAATCCACCAGCCACTCTTCAGAAAGCCTATACAAGGTCACTATGAGTTGGAATCGACTTGATGGCATTAACAACATATTGCTTTCTATAGTAGTAATATGACTTAGATTATAGCGTTCAGTATCATGACTGAAAATCAAATGCTCTAAGCTCTTCTGGAGAACTCTGACTGAACTACACACGTCTCTCCCTTTTTTGCTCTGCTCTAAAAGATGCGGGTAGGATGGTCTTAAGGATCCCTCTGGCACTTACCTTCTATGGAAACATTTCTAAGTTCTTTTCAAAATATAAATTTCACTGCAAAGTTTTTTGTTTTTTTTTTCCTTCAGTGAAAGCTCCATCATCCATTTTTAGTGGTTCAACTCTTATTTTATCATTGCTCATCAGACTATTTATTCCTAGAAATCCTGTTAGAAAGCAAGATTATTAAGCTCCACACAAGTACTCTCCACCCTACACACACAGCACATAGTCTCCATATAGGAAACAAGAACCCTCTTCACTTTGAAGAGATGCTTCAGAATTGTTTAAAAAAATGAACTATCAATCCTATCCCCACTGTACACATGGTTGATAGGGATGGGCAACTTAGACATTGGCTACCTAAAATGGGAGAGGCTATAAAAGGTACTAGAGTCCTGGTGTGGCGCTGTGGGTTAATGCATCAGACTGCAAAGCCGTTTGAACTGCAAGGTTGGTGGTTCAAGCTCGCCAGCTGCTCCTTGGAAACCCTTACAGGGTCACTATGGGTCAAATCAACTTGACAGCACTTTACAAAAACATAAAGGGACTAACTAGCTGCCTTGTAAGTTTTCAAGAGGTAGTTTCAGAGTGTGCAGGGAAGGCAGAATCCCCACTAAGTGGTTTTCATCTTGTCTAGATGGATCTGGTGAAGAGATGGAGATATTCTTGTGATTCAATAGTAATTGTTATCATGGCTAAGTGTGACTGTCACAACTGTAAAGGTAGAAGTTCTGTAACAAAAAAAGGGGGGGAGTAGTTAATTTTACAGTCCAGGAAGAGAGGACCCTAAGGCCATCAAGGGAAAAGAGCACGAGTGGAAAATGGGACCCTATCCAGAGGAGCTGCGACACCAGAGATGGAGGCTGAGATGAAGACATGGAGCAACAGAGCATCTAAGGACTCTAGCTAGACTCAAGGAAAGAGAAAGGCTGTGTGCTTGCAGCCAGGAGGCAGTCTTGCAGAATGTGCCCTTTGATTGTTTAAATGATTATATATTCCTGTTTTTGTGTACATCTAACAACAAAAAACAGAATAGAAGCAATCACCATTGAATAATGATGCACAGAGATTGTGATTATTGCAATGAAACGAGTGTAAAACCTATGTTCTTCTAGGTAAACTATCCCTCAATTCACAATAAAAACTTAAAAAAACCCCATAGAATTTCCAAGGGAATATGGCTGAGTCAAACGTAGGAAATGTCTGAATAAGCAATATACATGCAAGTGATGCAAGGTAGTGGACCAAATAATTGTTTTGAGAAGTTGTCCTGTTGATTGAAGGATGTTTAGCAGCATCACTGGTGTCAACTTATTAAGATGCCAGTAGCACCCCACAGGTGTGACAATCAGAATGTCTCCAGATATTGCCTCATTTCCTGAGGTAAAACTGTTCCTGAGGATCAAATGAGAAGGCAAATACTATGCAAATAGATGATCTATAATTATGTTGTTGTTGTTAAGGGCCATCAAGTTGGTTCCGAAGCATAGCGACTCTGTATCATTTCCAAGGAGCAGCTGGTGAACTTGAACTGCTGACACTGCAGTTCAAATGCCTTTGCAGTCCAGTACACCATAACCCACAGTGCCACTAGTTAATGTCACAGTGTTGAAAGAAGCCAGACACAAAAGTGAACATGCCATGTTTGCTACATCTATAGCATCAAGATTGGCAAAGCCAATTTATGCTATAGGAAATCAGGACAGTGGTCAGCCTTAGGGGTAAGGGAGGTGCAAGAAGCATTACCTAGGAGGGAGCGTAAACAGTGTTCAGAATGCCAGTAATGTTCTGTGTCTTGATCTTGAGTTCTGGCTACATACAAGAAAATTTACTGAGCACTTATGATATATGCATTTTCTACACAGACATACACATGTGTACATATTTTATGGTTGTTTGTGTCTTTGAGTTAGATCTAAGTCATAGTGACCCTGTATGGGGTTTCCGAGGTTTCTAGTGAATAGTGAGCATGTTAACAGTTTACATCACCCAGGGACTCTTGTCATTGGGTTCATTCCGATTCATAGAGACCCTGTAGGAAGAATAGAACTGCTATGTAGGGTTTCTGAGACTGTAAATCTTAATAGGAGCAGACAGCTTCATCTTTCTCTCATAGAGCAGCTGCTGGACTTGAACTGTTGACTTTGCATTTAACAGCTCAATGCTTATACTATAGCAGCACCACAAGCAACTTGTTAAGTTACATGCTAACTAATCAGAATTTTAAATCAACTTGTGAACTAAATTTAGTCTCCATGTTTTTTTAAAAAACGTATTTAATTTTAAAAATACAGAAAAAAGCAACTTCAATTAATTAATTTGGTAGAAATCAGTTGTACTCCTGAAATTTGCCACCAGTTTTATTGGAAATAACCTTCCAAATGGAAGATGATTCTTTTAAAGTTTATATTGTTGTAAAAACCAGCGCTGTCACAAATGCACAAAATATTACAAATGCACAAAAATATTGCAGTTTTCAATGTATTCTTAAAATTGGAGAAACATGATTAAGCAGCTAAGGCCTAATTTTGTCTGAAAAATAGTATTTATCTCTTTCAATCTAGCAGTTCATCAGAAACTGTTTTTTTTAATACAGTAAAATCTTTGAAAGCCAGACTCACTTAAGGCAGAAATCTGTCAGAGTAGAAAAATTCAGACAATAGACAATATGTGAATAAGGAGGATTTCTTAGTTTTTCTATTTTCAGACCTACCATTTTTCCAATTTACAAATTTTATTTAGAAAATCTGATCAGAGAAACAACAACAGCTAAGATATACTGCTATGTTATTTGTACGTCACTGCGATGAGGTCAGTTATAGACTATTTATTCCTCTTCAAAGAAGCAGGTCAGGAAGAGACAAAGCTGAATAAAGCTGGGCTGTGTGATTAGAAGGCCCAAGTCTTCACCACTTCAACCTTTCTTTTGTGCTGGGTCAGCTCTTCTGTAGCTGGCAATCTACCCACCAAGGCTTGGGTATTCCTGCGAGGGCACTGGGAATCTGGCTGGGCGTCTAGACCCACTGGGGTGGAGGCTTAAAACCCAGTTTGGCTCACTTTGGTATGTCATTAAACTCATACACATTTCTTCCAAACACACTCTGACGCCCCTTCCTTTCTGCCCTCCTCCTCTGCCTTGTTCCATAAAATCTATTTTGAACTATAAGGTCTCAGGCCACATTAGAGCTGGGAACCCAGAACAGGTGTCTGCTGGCTTGGTGTTGCCCGCCACAGAAGCAGCTAGTTCTGCATGGCAGCTGGATGTGGCACCTTCACCGACAAGAAGAAGGGGAAGCACATGCCCCACTTCCTGGGAGTAACCCACAGACTCTCCTAGAGGGAAGAGATGCCCCATAGCTGTTGCTGCCATATTTGACACCTTGCTAATGTGCAAAATGTTGGATAGTAGATATTTCACTAGCAGTGTAAATGTGCAATGTCAGAAAATGAGAGTCAATACATAAGGATGAGCTTATTCTTAAGCTTTTATACTTAAAGATTAGTATTACCCTTATTCTTCTTTTCATGTACATATATCACTTCAGACTAGTTAGTACCAGAACACTTAGTAGATAATAAAGACATTTCAAAAAGATAAAACCTACATCTAGAACCCTCAACTATATTTATTAAAAAAGACACTTTAAAAATATGAATATTGTAGTTACTTAGGAATCTTTTAGAACTATATTTTTAAAGTACTGCAACAAAAAAATGCACATATTACATCAACTAAATCTGTGATTTATTTTTGGAGAAAAATAATTAAAACAGTTTTCCCAATAAGGGGGAGAAATAAGAACATGAGATCATACTCTGATTACATGCTAATTACCACATTATATATAAGGTAGAGGTGTTTTCAATGATAAATATGAACAACGAATAGCTAAGATTTAAAAATCACAAGTTGTTTGACAACAGTGTAAATTCATAAATGTTGAAATAAATACCTAGTAAAAAGTCTATTTTAAAAATGAAAGTTTTTGATGGTGTTTACAGAGTAATCCAAATTTTATGTACAAACAGAGCACAGCAAATACACTGACAATACTGCTAATTTCCACTTAATTTCTTCATAATATGGCTGTCTGGGGTCGCATTAGTGAAGATACTACCTACAAACACATGGGTACCCCAGAGACTATGACGAATCACTTTACAGCAGCCAAGATCATCCACAGAGAATCCTAAATGTCGATAGCGTTCATCAGTTTCAAAAAGAGTGTTGTTTGTATACGGTCCAAAAAACTGAAGGAAACAAAAAATGAAGTCACATTTTCATTCGCAAGAAAGATACTGTAACAATATTAAGTATTACACACAGTTAAAAAATCAAATAACTACAGCAACAAAGAGAGTCATGTGGAACATTTCACCTCCCTCATCTAAATAACTGAGCATTCTGGAAATGTGAAACGATGAGCAAATTTCACATTACTTAAAACCATTTGAAGAAACCCTGGTGGTGCAGTGGGTTAAACATTGAGCTGCTAATCAAAATGTCAGGAATTTGAATGCACCAACCACTCTGCAGGAAAAAGATGAGGAAGTCTGCCTTGGTAAAGATTTACAGCTTCAGAAACCCTATGGAGTTCTACTCTTGTCCTATGAGGTTGCTATGAGTCAGAATTGACTCAGTGGCAGAGAACTGACTCAGACCATCAACTATGGTTCACCTTCATTATTTTCAAGACTAGAAAACTAAATCCCAGAGCAAAAGCTTCTCATTTCTATTTCTATACAATATTGTGTTTGGCTTTGACAACAACTGTTGTTGTTGCTGTTATGTGCCGTGGAATCGGTTCTGACTCATAGCAACCCTGTACAGGGTTTCCGAGGCTGTGAATCTTTATGGGAACAGAAAGCTTCCTCTTCCTCCCATGGAACAGCTGGTAGTTTCGAACTGTTGACCTTGAGGTTAACAGGCCAATTCTTAAGCATTACACTACCAGAACTCCTTTGACAAGAATTGTTAGGCACCATCGAGTAGGTACCGACTCAAAGCGACCTTATGCACAGCAGAACGAAACACTGCTCAATCTTGGGACAACCTCACTACTGTTGCCATGCTTGAGTCCATCAATGCTGCCACTTGGCCAATCCATCTCGTTGGGGGTCATCTTCCTCTTTTTCTCCAACCCTCCACCTTACCAAACATGATATCCTTCTCTAGCGAATGGTCCCTCCTGACAATATATCCGAAGTATGAGAGACAAAGTTTGGCCATCTTGGCCTCCTAAGAGCACTCTGGCTGTACTTCTTCCAAAATGGATCTATTGGTTCTTCTGACAGCCCACAGCACTTTCAATATTCTCCTCCAACACCGTAACGCAAAAGCATCAATTCTTCTGTGGTCTTCCTTATTCACTTTCACATGCATATGCAGTTATTAAAAATATCATCCAGCTTTCACATGCATATGCACTTATTAAAAATACCATGGCTTGGGTCAGGCGCACCTTAGTCCTCAAGCTGACATCTTTGCTCTTCAATCCTTTAAATAGGTCTTGTGCAGCAGATTTGCCTCATGCAATACATTGTTTGATTTCTTGACTGCTGGTTCTGTGAGTGTTCACAGTTGATCCTCCAAGAAGAATGAAGTTCTTGACAACTTCACTCTTTTCTACGTTGATAAGAATGTTGTTTATTGTTCCAGTGGTGAGGATTTTTGTTTTCTTGACATTGAAATGTAATCCATACTGAAGGCTGTGCTCTTTATCTTCATCAGTAAGTGTTTTAAGTCTTCTTCACTTTCAGCAACCAAAGCTGTATCATCTGCATGTTGCAGGTTAATGAATCTTCCTCCAATCCTGATGCCACGTTTTTCTTCATATAACCCAGGTTCTCAAGATTATTTGCTCAGCATACAGGTTGAATAAGTATGGTGAAAGAATACAACCTTGTTGCACATCTTTCTTAATTTTAAACCATTCAGTGTTCTCAAGTTTTGTTCAATCAACTGCTTCTTGGTCCAGGTACGGATTCCTCATGAGCACAACAATCAAGTGTTCCAGAATACTCATATTTCACAATGTTAATTTCTACTGTAAGAGTCAAAGAGTATAAAAATGATTTTGTTTCTATTTTTAAATGAAAGCTATTGCCAGAATTTAAAATGTGACCATAATAGTTTATTTTTTTTCAAAATATACTTAATTACTCACTGCCAAACCAGATGATGGGTCAATAAAGTCAGCCCAAAAGCCTTCAGTTCGAAGAGCATAACAAATTTCCTTAGCACCACTGATGAACTGGAAAAAAAAAAAGCAAAAACACAAGTAATATGCTCAGTAGAGCATTACAGAGTTAGTTTAATTTTTAAATAAGCTTTTAATATCTTTTGCTTCAGAGAATTCAATAGAATTAAAAACTCCAAGTAATGACATATTATAGTTAAATCCTAAGATTATTTTCATCATTCCAAAACATTAATGGTTCACATTACTTTTATTTCCTTCAAAAAGTCTAAATTTCGTATTATTTCTTATAAATTTTTCCCACTTTATGAACTATTAACAAGTAGTTCTGGGCTATTAACTCCTGAATATATCATGAATTACAAACTATAGTTGCTGTGTATCATTATGGAAATACTGGAATAAGGTAAGAAAGGGAAAATAAAATATTCAATAATGAATAGATATAAACCATTCATGAGTTTGGATGAAATTACTTAAAAAATATACATTTATTTTTATGTCCTTCGAATTTATCTATCCACTTACATGCTTCACAATAAAAAAATACATCCAAAAAATCCCATACAGATAATACAAGAATCTGGTGCCAGTGATGACATGGATAGACAGGATACTTACTTTTCACTTCATATCCCTCTATAGGTTTTGTATAGTGTATATTCACTATATACTATGAGCATATATTACCTATTCAAAATCCTGGTCTGACCATCATTTAAAGGAGCTCTGGTAGCGTAGTGATTACAAGTTGGGCTACTAACCTCAAGGTCAGTAGTTTGAAGCTACCAGCTATTCTGTGGGAGAAAGATGTGGCTTTCTGCTCCCATAAAAATTTACAGCCTTGGAAAGCCTATGTAAGGTTGCTGTAAGTTGGAACTAACACTGTGGCACACCACCACCATTTAATATCGCTATGCAGTCTTTACTTGCTGTAAGTTGCTACTGTGTCGAATCTGACTCATAGTGACTCTATGTGTGCAGAGTAGAAGTGCTCCTTTAAGGTTGTCTATGGCGTAGTAATGAAATGATTGTGAGGTTGGAGCAGGACTGGGAAGTGTTTTGTTCTGTTGTGTATAGGATTATATGTGAGTCGGAACCAACTCAATGGCACCTATCAACAACAACAACATGCTGTCTTCTCAGACACCTAGGGTAGGTTCAAACTACCAACCTTTCAGCTAGTAGCCTAGTGACTGTTTGTGCCACTCAGGGGCTCCTTTATTAGCTTTAGCAAATGTCTAAGTCCTGAAAAGATAGTAACATATATTAAGACCACATTACAATGTTTAAAAAAAAACTATAGACTATAAATGTTTAAAAACAAGATGCAGTTGAACTTCCAGCCATTAATAGAGTAATAGGTGTTGAACTTGTCACCTTAGTGAAAATTTAAAAACGGAACAAAATATATGCAGTAACTGTTTTTAAACCTGAACAATAGTTGGAGTTAAGAAGTGGAATCCTTGAGAGAAGGAAAACAAATGAGCTGATCCCTTTATTTGTTCCACTTTTCTGCTTGGGACATTTTCTTATTAAGGAGCAAAGAAGTGGAGTCCAAGGAAAGTGGTGGAATCACTGAGCTGAGGAAGTAGAAAGCAGAGTTCTAGTGTGGTGAAGTATGGAGATTTGTGTGACAGGACGCCAGAGAAGAGGGAGATGCACAAATGAGGCTCCTCAGGTGTGTGCACAGAAAGTCACCCCGGTTCTTTAGCCAGGGATGGGCTGTATATGTACAAATTCAGATTTCCTGAGGCCTAGCAGAGACTGCCTACTGGGACGGAGAGGTGAATGGTAATACTAAGGGGTATGCAATTCTGGGAAACTTCAGATTTCTGGACCAAAGTGAAAAGACATCAATGAAGATTTCTGGTGTTCAGTTGAGTGCACTCAAAAATCAAGCCTAGGCATACCAACTATATCCTAAATCAGGGGTCAAGAAGCTACATATACCCTGAGAGCCAAATCTGGCCTGCTGCTTGTTTTGAAAATTGGAAAGATTTATTGGAAAACAGCCATGACTATTCATGTGCATATTGCCTATGGTTTCCTTCATACTATGAGGATGAGCCAAAAATGATCCACACTCCAATTATATTAAAACACCTGCCCATATCCACAGCCAATGACAATGATTATGTACATGAAATGATTCTGTTGAATAGAGGAGTGACAGTGGATTATATGGCAAATAATTTGCAAATCAGTCATGGCTCTGTTTATGAAATAATCCATGACAAACTTGGGTTTCAAAAAAAGTGTGTGTGAGATAGGTACCAAACAACTCATGGAAGAGAATAAACAGAAGCATTTGTACATCTACAAACAAAATTTGGACCAATACTTAAAGGAAGGCAAATGTTTCTTTAAAAAAAATTATTACTGATGACAAGACAAGGATTCATCACTACAAACCTGAGAGTAAACGCAAAGTATGGAATGGTACAATCCTCAACCACCCATCAAGAAAAAGTTCAAAAGTCAATCATCAGCTAGAAGACTGATGCTTACAGTTTTCTGGGATTCCCAAGGGCCAGTATTGGAAGGAACACGGTCAGGAAAAAGGTTCCACAATCAACAGTGCTCACTGAAAAGCTAAAGCCTAAACTACAGATTAAACACAGAGGACTGGGATCCAAGAATGTTGTGGTCTTGCATGACATTGCACATCCTCTGCACACACTACTGCCCACACTGCAAACACTTCTTTTTGAGGTGTTAAAGCATCTTTCCTAGAGTCCTGATCTTGTTCAACCAGACTTTCATCTGTTTGGTCCCTTGAAAGTAGCCCTTCGAAGACTAAGATTCACCTCTCTCTGATGAAGTGAAGACGGTGGCACTCATGGCTCGCAGCTCAACGTAAAACATTTTTTAATAAGGGAATACAAAAGCATGTATTGACAGATGAATGAAGTTTATTGAAACACAAAGGACATTATGTCTTTGTCTTTTCTAAAAGTTGATTATAATAAATTTAACAACCAAAGAGTGCGGATAATTTTTGACTCACCCATGTACAATCACCGTGTTGAATAGTTGACATAGTGGCCCTATGATCTAGAAAGCCTAGAATATTTACTGTATGGTCCTTTCAAAAAAATTTTGTGTATCCTGCGATAGAAGTATACAAGCTAAGCTAAGTCATTCTCTCCAGTTGTCTTCTTATAAGCTAATGTTGTTGTTGTTGTTGTTAAGTACCGTGGAGTGGATCTGACTCACAGTGATCCTGCACAGGGTTTCTGAAGCTGTAAATCTTTACTGGAGCAGAACGCCTTATCTTTCTCCCGCAGAACTGCTGGTAGTTTTTTACTGCCGACCTTGCGGTTTGCAGCCCAATTCACAATCATTAGGCTACCAGAGCTCCTTTAAGCTAACAGTAAACTCCAAAATAATATCATATTCTTTAGGTTATTTCCACACTTTATATTTTATTGATGTTAATTCTTTTTATTCTTAAATATAATAAGAAAACTACTTATTATAGTCTAGAAAATGATTACTAGAATATGTTTTCAATTTAATGAACTGACCTGCCATTCACAAAAACTCTACAAGGAGAGCAAAACAATGCAATAAAATGTTTACAAATATTAACTGAAGAAATTTCAAAACAGTCATTTGAAAGACTATTTGACCAGTTTTGAGTATTTTCACCAAGATTTGTGCTCGTAACAGCAAATACTGACATCTGGTGGAAAAAATTAGAATAGATTTAAACCATAAAAGATAGACAGTAAGCAAGGTGTACTTCCAAAACAACCATTAACATATCTAATCTAAAATAGAAAAATCTGTTTCTTTCCTAGAATACAACATAACTGCAACTTACCTTTACATGTAAACATAAAATGTTTTAGGTTATTGCCTGGTTAAGCCTAAGTTCAGAAATACTTAAAAGCAAAGACACTGTCTTATGCTTCTGTGTAGCTTCCTTCTTAATTGAGTGGCTTCAAAAACTGTGTGAAAAATTCCATTTTGAAACACCCTATATATATTTAGTTTGCAAATTAAGAGAACCATAATCTAAAAAAAAATGTCATTCCTAATATTATTTTACATGGAAATCAGTATAGTGGATTTTCAACTAAATTATAATTTCCAAGTTATCCTTAACCTGTAATGCAATCCTATCTTATAAAAAATTGAAATCTAGTATTAACTCCCAATAAAACTCTTATAGAAAGAACTATACAACAGTTTTAAATAATGAGATTTTATTATTTAAATATCCAGATCCAAATAAATTACTATTTTCACTAATCTCCAGGAAAAGCTATGGTAAGAACTACTAACTAAGATGATCTTTTGGGTGGGCAAACTGGCACCATCTTTTAAGAGTTAAAATGTACTTTGGTACTGTAGGATAAACACTGGACTGCTAACTACAAGGTTGGTGTCAAATCCACCAGTTGCTCCTTGGAAACCCTGTACAGGGTCGCTATGGGTCGGAACCGACTCGACGGCACTTAACAACAACAACAACAGCCCTTTAACAACTTTATTAGAAATATATAGGTACTAGCGTATATGTTAAAATATATGCACAAAGATTGTCGTCACTGTGCTGACTGTAATAGGAAAAGCTTGACTTTCACCTTGTAAATCACTAAGGAAATGTCTGTTTAAAATATGGTCTATCCGTGTAATACACATAATGCAGAATTTACAAATGGAATAGATCTATATGCAATAAGGCCATAGAAAGCTTAAAAACAGACCTTTATAGGTCAAAAACAAAGCACAGGGCAAGTAAAAAAACTAAGTATATGGTACTGGGCGGCAGATTGTTATTTGCTTTTTAGAGAAGGTGTTGGGGTAATATTCACTTTTCACCTGATATGATTTTTAAAAACAGAAAGGTAATCAACAAAAAGGTCAAGTTTTCTTTCTTTTTTTAATTGTACTTTTCCAATTTCCTAAAGGAGATACAAATGTAAAAAATAAATTGAGTAAAGTACTAGATAGAATCTAAGTTTTTCAAAGATATTAAAACAACAAACCGTAGTATTTTCATTCTCAAAAAAGATGTGGTAAGTCCTTTAGTAATGAATACTTTAAAAAAGAATTAATAAAGGCTGGAAAAGGTATTCATTCTTTTTGAAGATTGTGGTTTGTTTATATTTAACTAAGTCCTGGTGTGAGGCTGTGGGATAAAGCACTGGACTGAAAGGTCGATTTCAGTGACAAGGCCAGCAGTACAAACTCACCAGCTGCTTGCTGGAAACCCTATTCAGGGTCACTACTGAGTCAGAACCGACTCCATGGCACTTAACACAACAAAACTAAATTGTGATAAATTAAACCATTACCTTTTCTAAGAGTATTTCTCTTTCATTTTCTACTTCCTCACTCCAAACAGTCATATCATTCTTAGTCTTCTGTGTCACAGTCAAAATCATTAACTTGCTGGTGGTCACTTCTGGAAATAGAGCTTCAAAATCTAGTAAGAAAATTATAAGAAGAAACAATTGTTTGAAAAAACAAAAACAGCATATACAAGGACTCAAAAAAAAGGGTGTTTAACTTCAACTATATTGTATGCTGTTAAGTGTCATGAAATTGGTTCCAACTCATAGTGACTCTGTATAAGGTTTCTATGGAACAGCTGGTGGGTTTGAACTGCTGAACTTGTGGCTTGCAGTCCAGTGCTGATCTTAACAGTGTCACACCTGGAGTCCATAAGTTAAATTATAGTGATACTATTTTTTAAATAGCTATTATTTTTGAAAAGGATAAAACAAATTCAATTTTGGTTAACATAATTCTGTTGTTAGATGAACTTAAATGTTACTGCTAACAATTTTGAAGGGTGGTAAGTGGTACAATTTAATTTTTTAAAAAGTTAATTTTATTAAGATTTGCCTCAGTTCTTTATGGTTCATGAGACTATAGCTATAATTGTTGTTATTGTTGTTGTCAGGTGCCATTGAGTCGGAACCGACTCATAGCGACCCCATGCACAGCAGAACGAAACAATGTCCGATCCTGGGCCAACCTCGCTACTGCTGCCACACTTGACGCCATCAATGATGCCACCTGGCCATCCATCTCGTTGGGGGTCTTCCTCTTTTTCTCTGACCCTCCATCTTACCCAGCATGACATCCTTCTCCAGCGACTGTTCACTCCTGACAATATATCCAAAGTATTAGAGACGAAGTTTAGCCATCTTGGCCTCCAAGGAGCACTCTGGCTGCACTTCTTTCAAAACAGATCTATTGGTTCTTTTGGCAGTCCATGGCACTTTCAGTATTCTCCTCCAACACCACAATTCAAAGGCATCAATTCTTCTACGATCTTCCTTATGCAATGTCTAGCTTTCGCATCCATATGAGGCTATTGAAAATACCATGGCTTGGGTCAGGTGCATCTTAGTCCTCAAGCTGACATCTTTGCTCTTCAACACTTAAAAAAGTTCCTATGCAGCAGATTTGCCTAATGCAATACATCGTCTGATCTCTTGACTGCTGCTTCTGCGAATGCTGATAGTTGATCCATGAAGAATGAAGTCCTTGTCACCCAGAAATATATTAAACTTTGGAGAAAATGCTATTAAAATTCTACTTTTCCCATCTAATGTAAGCATGAGGTCAAATGCCATGGAACAGTTGAAAGTCTTTATCTTGACCATGCAATCACTTCTAGCTCACATTAAAATTACAGAGCATATTAGTCATTCTGTTGTTGGAGATGGTGCTGTTGAGTTGATTCTGACTCATGGTGCCAACTCTGTATAGGTTTTCCAAGCAGCAGCTGGTAGGTTTGAACTTCCAACATTGCAGTTAGCCGTCTAGTAGTTAGTGTTACACAAGCACTCCATTTCTAGTGGAAGTGAAATGATACTTCATGGCAGTTTTGGTTTGCAACTCTCTGATGGCTAATGGACTACTAAATGGACTACTACTCAGGTGGCAGAAGAAATGAAATCTTGATACATGCTATAGTATGGATGGAGCATATAGAAATTACACTGAGAAATTAGGAGCTCTGGTAGCACAGTGGTTACGAATCGGGCTGCTAACCCCAAGGTCGGCAGCTTGAAACTACCAGCTGTTCTGCAGGAGAAAAATGAGGCGTTCTGCTCCTGTAAAGATTTGCAGCCTCAGAAACCCTGTGCAGGATCACTTGGGTCGGAACTGACTCCATGGTACTTCACAACAACAAGCCAACCACAAAAGGACAAATACTATATAACCTTACTTATGTAAGTCCTGGTATGATGCTATAGGATAAGCACTGAACTGCTAACAGCAAGGTCGGCAGTACAACCCACCAGCCACTCCTTGTAAAAACCTATACTGGGTCACTAAGAGTCACAACCAACTCAACAGCATTTAACAGCAATAGCAAAATTATATATTTATATAAAGAGACACAAACAAGCAAATAAATGTCTAGATATCAAAATTTGTTAACGACTACCTACTGTAACACTAGGAAGATACAGACACCTGAGAAAAATCAACTATTTGAGATCATAAGGGCAGCATCTGTTCAAGGGCAAAGTTCAGAAGGGTTAGGATAAGAAGAGGACTACAAGCAGGAAACACAGTGAGGAAGAAGCATAAGTGAGTGATGTTACTTGTGGGAAATGCAATCAATGACATGAAACAAAATGTCTATGAATGCAACGGAAAACGATTCATTCTGAAAACTTTTAGCCAATTCACAATAATAAGTTAAGAAAAGAAGTGTAATACACATATTTACAATGACAAAAAGAGTAGGTGCTGAGGCTGCTTATGTACAAACACTTCATAAAATCTGGTTACTAGATTTGGAGATTCAGGGTCAGGGTTCCAAGGAAAACCCAAGTTAGTTGGCCTAATAGCATGTTTATTGCTTCCTAGTTAATGAGCCAGGGTTGTATCCTTTCACCATACTTATTCAATCTGTATGCTGAGCAAATAATCTGAGAAACTGGATTACATGAAAAAGGACATGGCATCAGGATTAGAGAAAGATTCATTAACAACCTGCGATAGGCAGATGATATAACTTTGCTTGCTGGAAGTGAAGAGGACTTGAAATACTTACTGATAAGCATCAAAGACTACAGTCTTCAGTACAGATTTCACTTCAATGGAAAGAAAATGAGAATCTTCACAACTGCACCAATACTCAATATCATGACAAATAGAGAAAGGATTGAAGTTGTCAGAGACTTCATTTAGAGTGGATCTACAAACACTCATGTAATCAGCAGTCAAGAAATCAAATGATTTTTTTCCCATTCCGTGGGTACCCTTTTTAGTCTTTTGATGCACATAAGCTTTTAAGTTTTAGTATGTCCCACTCATCTATTTTGTCTACTTTTGTTTGTGTACTTTTCAAAATGTTTGATAGTTTGTATTCCCTGAATTAGTGCCCTCACATTAGTCCCTATTTTTTCACTGATGGCCTTCATAATTCTAAGATTCATATTTAGGTCTTTAATCCATGCTGAGTTGGTTTTTGTATAGGGCAGGAGGTAAAGATCTTGTTTCAATCTTTTGTATATCACTTTTCAGTTCTGCGGACACCATCTGTTGAAGAGACTATCCCCTCCCCATGCGATGTTATTTAGATACTTTGTCAAAAATCAGTTGACTGTATGTGGATGGGTTAATTTCTGGATTCTCGATTCTGTTCTATTGATTAATCTATCTTTCATTGTACCTGTACCAAGCTATTTTGTCCACTGTGGCCGTATAATAAATTTTGAAGTCGGGGAGTGAGAGGTTTCCAACCTTATTCTTCTTCTTAAGCAGTGCTTTGCTTATCCTGGGTCTCTTTCCTTTCCATATAAAGTTTGTAATGGTTTTTTCCATCTCTTTGA